TCCCCTCTGCAGCCTGCAGCTGCCTCAGTGCCTGTCAGGCTGGGTTGAGTCACTTCAGCATGCATTCTCCTCCCTGTCTGGCCAGTTTGGCAAATCTCTCAGGCTCCCAGCCCCTGGCCCTGGAGCCTGTGGGCACCCTCGCCCCCCAGCCAGGGCTTCTTATCCCCTCACCCCCAGGAGCCCTTCTCTTTCCAGAAACAACCCCAGCCTAGTCCTGTCTCTGGAAATCACCTAAGCACGGGATCTTGCTATTCTGGACTCTTTGGAGCAAGAACCTCACTGACCCTGGATCCTCTTGGCTAGTCAGAGGAGGAGGATTAGACAAGAACCCCCACCCCTGGTCTCCAAGGAGAAAGGGGAAAAGGTATGGCCTGGGCCCTCTGGGGTTGTCAGCCTGGCTCCAGACCCTCCCAGGTCCCTTGCTCTGCCAGAGGGACCGAGTGCCCCAGACAGGAACTGCTCCACACTCCAGGGACCAGTCACAGTTCAGTAGGAGGTCACAGGCCGAAGGAGGAGAGCTGTCCTCCTCCTGGGTAAGGTCCCCATACAGCTAGTTCTCACAGAACTGTCCCTTCACAGGAGCTGACACCCTTCCCCTGCCCTCTTGTGATGCCCCCAGGACCTATGCCACCGGCCCCAGTAGAACCCCCTGGGCGCTATAGCTGCATCTCATCCCAGGCACCAACAGAAAAAACCCTGCTACCCCCAAGGACAATTAGGCCTTGCAGGAAGGGAAAGACGGTGTGAGGACACAGAGCAGTCCTGCAGGGCCCAGGAACCCTGTCTCAGAGCAGACCACCTGCCTGTCTGTAAGTTCCCAGGCCGTTGCTGTCTCTCCCCTGGGCACTGAACTGTTTTCCACACCATGCCCTGGAGGCAGGAGCTGGGCAATCCAGGGGAGGAAGAGCCACCCACCTCCTCACCCAGACCAGGCCCCGAGAGAGAGGTTGCTAGGGAGAGTGGGCGGCCTCCGTGTCACCCGATGGGTGTGCTGGTTCTGAGGCTGCTCCTCCATCCTGCCCCAGGCTCTGCATTAGGAGGTGGGATTAGCAGTCTAGTGAGGGGAGTGGCTGTCTCGGCCCAGCTGGAAGTGGGAGCGAGGACTCCAAACTGGAGGTGAGGAAAACTGAGGGGACAGGGTTTTGGTGAGAGGAAGATAGAAGAGGAATGAAGAGCCTTTACCCACCCATTCATCTCCCCAGACTGTGTTCCATGCCCCTACCCTCTTGACCTGAGAGGAATTCAAAACCAGTAAAAGAGAGACTGTCCCTGCAGAGTCATTTCTGCGTGACTGAAGAGTCACCAGCTGCAGGATCCTGTTCGTTGCCACCCCTGCCCCCACGCACACTCTCTTAGCAACAGTTCTCAGGACCTTTCCCCACCCCAGCTTCTTCTTTTCTTTTTAATGTTGAGAGTACGTTTATTAAAGCTGGGGACAGTGAAACAAGGAAGGACTTAAGACAGAAGAAGCAACAGGACAGACCTAGGTGGGGCTGCTTTGGCTCACTGAGAAGTCAGAGAAAAGGCAGCCTAGGAGGCAAGTTCAGGGATTAGCCCAGGACAAGCTGCCACTGCCCACTGCTCCCCTGGTTGCAAGTCTTGTGGGGTCTCTTAGAGCCGTGGTCGGCAAACTGCGGCTCGCAAGCCACATGCGGCTCTTTGGCCCCTTGAGTGTGGCTCTTCCTAAGCCTTAGGAGTACCCTAATTAAGTTAATAACAATGTACCTACCTATATAGTTTAAGTTTAAAAAATTTGGCTCTCAAAAGAAATTTCAATCGTTGTACTGTTGATATTTGGCTCTGTTGACTAATGAGTTTGCCGCCTACTTATATAGTTTAAGTTTAAAAAATTTGGCTCTCAAAAGAAATTTCAATCGTTGTACTGTTGATATTTGGCTCTGTTTGACTAATGAGTTTGCTGACCACTGCCTTAGAGTTTAGGTGATTTGTGCCTAAGAGGGAAGAAGGGGGGTGGGGAGGGGGGTGCGGGAAAGGTGTGCAAGTGATCCCAGCTCTAAAAGGCCGAGTCCAATCCACCCCCTCTGCCAGGGCCCTGGGCTCCCCGCTCCCCTATTGCAGGCAGCCAGAAAGGAGCACAAGACCCAGCACTTCTGTAAATATGTTTAATGCACTTAGATTACACAGAGGAAGAGGGGCAAGAAGAAAACGACATCTAAGTGAGGCAGCCAACGTTCTTACAAAAGTTCCTGGCTGGCTGCAGCCTGTAGGAACTGAGTCGCCATTGACATTAGAAACTAATGAAAATGTTTACAAAAGCCTGCTCGTCGCAGCATTCAGGTCCTTGTACAAAAGGAGGGCTCTCAGGGCTCCTCACTTATTACAGGGACCCAGGGACCTCACCTGGCACGGAGGCCCCGGAAGCCAGAGAGGAAACATAACTGAATAAAAAAATAGTCAAGGGATTTCTTTACTGGTCTGCCCCATAGGGGCACCAACTTTTAGATTTTTTCCCTGCTCCTCAACTCAATCTCAAAACCCAGTCCCAAGACCCTGTGTTTATTTTTAAAACGTTCTAGCCCTTTTAGACTCTCCCCAAGGCTTCCCAGTCCCAGCGCTGGAGCCTGGCCTATGGAACAGGAAGAGAAGGACAGGAAAGTGCCAGCTCCCTGGCCACATCTGAGACCTTGCATGAGCCTCTCCACCCACTCCGAGTGGCAGCTGGGTCTGTGGTCCTCTTGCAGCCCATACTGGACCTGAGGAGCCACAGAAGTCTGCCTTGTGTAGCAGGCAAACAGCACGGGGGTGCCCCTTCCTAGCACCAGGGACTGGGAGGGTGGGGTAGGACCAGGCAAACCTCAGGGAAGCCTGTGGAAGAGGCAGATGAAGGAAGCTTCTTACCTCCCCCTTACGATGAGGTCAGGGCTCTGAAGGGGCTGCAAGGGGGGAAAGAAGGGATACATTTAGTGAGCACCCACCACGTTTCAGGTGCTGTGCTAAGCACAGTACGTGGTCAGCCCTGCTTGTCTCACCAGCCAGCTCAATGGAGAACCCCTGGGAAGGCATTGCCACACAAGGGAAAGGAGGTGTGGTCAGAGACAGAGGGTGCCCTGCCACTGCCCCAGAGCCACTGCCCTGTAGGAAAAGGAAATGGAGGCCTGGCCCCAGCATGACCTTGGAGGTTCCCAACATGGGCAGGCAGGGGCCATAGGCTTCATGGGCTCATCGTCTCAGAGCTCACCTACTGCCTCCCATACTGATGACAAAGCTTATAAAATAGTCCCCTCCCCATCGCCAAACCAGGCAGGTGGAGGCAGGGCTCCAGAAAGAGAACTGGTGGAGAGCAGGTCAGTGGCAAGGAAAGGAGGAAAGGTGATGGCACCTCTTTGGCCACGAGACATCGGAAGACAAGAGCTTCGAAGGCAAGGATGCTGTGGCAGACGGAGGCCAGGAAATGTCCTTTTGAAAAGTTCTGAGAAGGCACAGCTGCTCCCAATGTCAGGTCCAGAGGGTTGCACCTTGGCTGCTGGGAGCCTGGAGTCCATCTCTCCCATACTCCAGGCTGATCTGCCTTGAAGCTCTGAGTTTGATGGAATTAACCAGGTAGCCCTAAGGGTGTATGCAGAGAAGGGGCCAGGCTCCTTGGAAGTCCAACTGCTGCTCCCTGGAGAGACGGTCACTGCCTTCACGGCTCCTGGAGGCAGCTTTGTCGGGATCTCTCATCAGAGGGGTCCTGTACCCGTGGGCCTCCTGTGGCCTCCTGGTGTGTATGGTGGTGCAGACGGGGCAGAGCATAGTCCTGTGTGATCCCTGACAGACAAAATGGCTTTGCTTTGGACAGGCCTAAAGAATGATCTTGAAATAGCAGTCCCTAGAGTTGGGGGTAAAAGGGCATGAACGGGGCTTGTTGATTTCAGGACAGAAGTGGGAGATCATCCAAGAGGGACCCCAAAACCACAGGCCAGAAATAGGTTGGCTTCCGGGAGGAAGACCATGAGAACTTCAGTATTGGGGCAAGGGATTAAGGACCCAGAGAGGCCCAGAGGCAGGACAGGAATGGGGAATGAAAGATGAGAAATGAATAGATGCAGGGAGGATAGAAGAGCGGTAGAATGCAGTGTTTGCAAAATCAAAGTGAAAGCTGTTAAGAGGGTTACTTTTTCCATTTTTAATAAGCCAGAGTCCTGCAGCCTGGAGGCTGGGAGGCCCAGGGGATGAGGAAATGGGGCAGGAGTGGTCAAAGAGCTGGAGACCCAGGCCCTGAGTGGCAGGTGGGGATGATCTGTGAGGTGCTGGGCCTCACCCTCTCCCAGGCAAGCCTGGAAGACGAGGCTGAGGCTTCCAAGTCTCTGAGACCCTGACGGTCCTTTAACTTTGTGGGGTCCAGTCCACTGGGAAGCAGCAGCACCCCTTCTTGGCCCAGCTTAACTGGACTCAAGGCTTCATGGGGGAGTCTCAGCTCTCCCCTGCCACAGGCTCCACCAGGCCCACCTGGGGAGAAAAGCCTCTCTGAAGCTGGCTGCTCTGGGCCCTGGGCAGGCAGGTGCACACCATACCTTCTCTGGTGGCGGCTCAGAGGGAGTTAGCCCCAAGCCCTTGTCTGAGAGAATGCAAAAGTTCATCTGGCAATAAAGTTCTGTTTAAAAAACATTATATACACAGCTTCTGGACATCTTTGAAGAGCAATAAAATACCATCGGTTTCTACAAAATAAAATAGAGGAAGAAAACCAAACACAACCAGAGGAATTGTTCGGTGGCAGGAGGAGCTTGACTACCAAAGGCTCCCAGATTGAGCTGGGCAGTGAGCCCCGAGGGCCACTCCACCTCCTTCCTGCTGGGTGCTCGGCAGGGGGTAGGTGAGAGGAGGCCTGAGACCGAGGGGCACATTAAAGGTCCAGAGTCACTTCTTAAACCAGAACTTGAGGCGGCAGCAGGAAAGGAAGGTTTGCATTTGCCCACTCAGTACCCAGTGGGATCAGGGCCTGGTCATGTGGGCTTGGCACTGCAGGTGAGGCAGAGGTCAGCTGCCCATGCCTAGCATCCCGCCGGGCTGTAGGTGCTCGGTCATCCTCACACTTGTCCTTTCATTGGTGGGACTCTCCCTTACACCGTTGTTACACCGGAAGTCACCGGGGAGCAGCTGGGCTCTCCTCTGGCCCCTGCAGGGCCCAGCCCAGGCTAGTGCAGTGGACTATCGAACACCACATCAGGCAGGATGGAGACTTTCAGCTTCTTTTCAGGCCAGCTGTACTCTTTGGGGAGTTTGAACTGTGGAGGGAGCAAGCACAGAGCCAGAGTGCACACGTTAGCAGAATCCACTGCCTCCCCCCAGATTGCCTAGAGTGGCCGGGACTCTCACCCAGGCCTGTCCCTGGTGCTGGGACAGGCCTGGCCACTGGTTGCCTGGTTTCAATCTCAAATGCTAGACCCAGGTGGGTGGCTGAAGTCAAGCTGCTGGAGTTCGTGACCCCTTCCTCCTCTACCCTGGCCGGGCCAATAATTAACCCCAGGTTGGAGGAGGCATGTTTTCTAACTCTTTCTTGACTGTGCTGACCTCCCTCCAGATCACTTCCTTGGTTCTGCCTCTGGCCACAAGCATGTAAGGAATCTATTCCCTGAGGCCCTGGGGCTGGAGAATGGGGGGCAGGGGGAGGGTACAGATGCTACAGGGAAATGGCTTGAGGTCTAAAACTGCAAACCTGTCCCTGCCATGGCTTCTCTTATGAAGGCTGGTGCAGAAAGTCACTGAAACCTGCCCTCTGTAGCTTTTGCCAAAGGGACCAAGGGAAGGAGGCCCCGACTTGGCCTCAGAGGGAGCAGAGGCGCAGAATGGCTGGAGGTGGTTTCTTGGGTCTGGTCATCCTCAAGAAGAGCAAACCCTCCACCCTGCGCCCCCTTGCTCATCCTCATCTGCTTCCCAAGGTTACCAGCCTGAGAGTGGTCCCAGTGGTGGCCAAGGGGAGTCCAAGGCCTTCCTGTCCCACCCGGGAATCACTGATTTGCTTACAGTTTTGTTTCTAGAGCTTCTGGTGGGGGTAGAGGAAAGAGACGGATACATCTTATTCCCTCTATACTCTAGGCCCCTGAATGTGATCTGGCACACAGCTAGTGCTCAACAGATGTCACTGACTGGGGAATAGGGTCCACCGTTCATGACGCTCACTGTCCTGGGCTAGGTGAGAGGTCAAGCCAGGCTGGACAGGAGGAAGAGCAGGCCCTCAGCCTTCCAGCTGGGCTGGAAGCGAACAGGCCTGATATTTCCTGGCTTGCTCCCTGTACCTCCCTCTGATGGGGGACTGTCCAAGCCAGGACTAAATGGAGAGTGGGACAAGGGATAGGGACAGCCTCCGGACAGGAAAGAAAGAAAAAAAAGTCATTTTTAGTGACCTACTTTGCTAAGCTTCCCCTGGCTCCTGTCCCTCCTGCCTGGACTGCCCCCCTCCCACCCCCTCAACATCCAAGCTCGGAGCAGCAGCTGGCACAGCGCCACCCAGTGCTCCATGGCCTCTCCGGAAGCGCTTCTGGGCAGCTGGCTCTGTCTGTCTGAATGGGAGCTGGGCCTCAGGGACCAGTGGCTTGTGGGGGCTGATTGGCTGGCACAGACTGGGTGCTTGGTGACTTTGAATGTATAAACGAGTTAATTTATCAAGCTGTATCCCAGAGGAGAGAGAAAACACTGTCCTATTAGGGGTGACCTCAGGCTCAGAAGTTCCTGTCCACCTGGAGCCCGGACAGGACAGGCCCTCCCTGTGCACTCTTCCTGCACCCGTGATGTTGGCGCCGCCTGTCCTATGTAGCCCAGGAGCCTGGCAGCTGGGAGCTCCTGGCTGAAAGCTAGCTCCTGCCTGGCCTCTCTTGGGCCTGAAAGCTTGGACCCTGGGAAGTGAAGGAGCTCTCCCCCAAACACACTTCCCGGCAGAAAGGGCCAGGGGAGGGCCTGTCTCTGCCACAGGCAGGGGAGGGCCCAGAAGAACTCTCCGGAGGCCGTGGCCAGCTTGCTAATGTTCTACTAACCTATCGGGCATCAAGGCCAGGAAGGCTCAGATCCCACTGGGGTGCTGCTTAGTAGGAGGCCAGGGGAGGCGAAGGGACTTTCCAGGATGAGGTAAGTCCCTGCAAATGAGGATGCCGGGAACAAGGAAGAAAAACAAAGGGCATTATGGGCTCCAGTCCTGTACCCCCGAGTAGCAGCCAAGGAAAGCACAAGTGCCCACCTGGCCTGCCAGCTCCTCAGGCTCTGGGCTAGGGTTAGAAGAGGCAGACCAGGAGGGGAGAGCCTCTGGCTGGGGGAGGGAGGCAGGAGAGTGGCTCCTGGGTGGCCTGAGGCGAGAGCAGGAGTCCCTTGCTGCCCACCAGAACTCCCCCGTGGAATGTTCTCTGGCAGAGGCATGAGCTTTCTGTTCAGAAGCTGCCAGGAAACAGCAGGGCTGGGGAGCTCTCGCACTAGCCTGAAGGCCCTGGCTGCCCTTCAATGAGGTTCTCAGGAGCAGGCGATTCAGTTTGCTGGGTGTCCTTAACGAGGGCTGGGTGGTGGGAAGACAGAGAGGAATAAAGCTGTTTAACATCTCGAGTCTCTCTTCCAGCCTATCCTGACACCTGAGAGAGAGCGAGGAGAAGGGAGGGATGGAGGGAGAGAGAAAGAGAGAGACAGACATGCATGCCCACTCCTGGAGACCTAAGCCCTCTGTCAGAATCAAATAGGCTTACTTCCTCTGGAGAAGTCAAATCTTCTAAGTCCTCCAACATTTTCTCTACAAACTCTTCCGTCAATAGAATCTGGAAAGAAAGCACAAGACTTTTATTTTATGTTTTCAATAGATGGTCTTTTTGCCAAATGCCAAATGTCAAGCTATGGACCTTCTCCTGGCCATGGAGATCTGTTCTAGGGACAGAGGGAAGTGCTTGAGGCCTATCCTGACTGTACCCCCCCCCCCCCCCCCACTCCAAAAAAAACCTGTACCCCCCCCCCCCCCCCAAACACAACCTGCCTGCAGTATCAGAGGAACTAGGGTAAAGAAGGAAGGGTGTCAGAGGACAATAGGGAAGAAGGTGGGCACATCTGGAGGGGCAGCGGTGCTGGTCTCAGAAGCGATATGGAAATGGGTGGGAAAATGCCGGTTTGGGCAGTTGGGGCCTCCTGCAGGTTTCAGTGCAGCAGAGTGGGAACAAAAGCCGAGGGGCAGAGAAGAGCGATTGCCAACATCCTTGCCCAAGCAGGTCACATGTTCCCCTCGCCCTCACTTGGTAGGACAAAAGGAATCTGTTTGGGTTTGGAATACAAGCTGGTCTGGAATCTGGAAATGCCCCGGAAGGTACATCCAAGAATGTGCTGGAGAATTTGGAGACTGTGCACCAATCTCTTGTTTTACAAATGGGCAAAGGGACTCCTCAACTCCCATTTCCATCTGTGGTATCCACATTCTCTCAGGCCGGAAGCTCCCAAACTCCCGTCCTGCGGCCTATTTAGCCTGAGTTCTTCAAAACTTCCTTTGAGAAACCTCTTTTCCAGTTTGCCTCCCAGCTGTCCCACTTTGCTGCTCCCGTCTGCTGCCTTATACGTTGATGTCTAGGACAGCCTGGCCCCACTATTCAGCTGGCACAACCACCACCCTCACCCTCTAAAGAAGTTTCACACCCATGGGGATGTCCAAGGACACTCGGCCTTCCTCAGGCGATGGGCCGTTTTCCCAGCTGGCTCCTCTGTTCAGGCTGGCTCTAGAGCCAGGCCAGGCTCACCCCAGGCCTGCACCACACCGGGACCAGCCTGAGGATGTCTCTTCTCTTCCCAAGCCGACCCTTCTCCACCCCTCTCCTCTCTGTGCTGGTGCGTGGGGCCTCCTGCACCAGACACTTCCACACCACCAGGCTGTGGCTCTCCCTGCTGCCACTTTGCCTCCTCCGGCAGACTTTGAATGACCTGGTGTGGCCAGAGGAAGAAAAACAATGGGCAAAGACCAAGGTGAAGGGCTCCTCTGAGGGAAAACCCTCTATGAGAAGGATGGGGATCAAGAAGTTGAGAAAATACCCATCAGGTTTCCCCTGGGAATTGTACACTCTGATAAGAGCAGAAATCCCAACATTTAGAATATAGCCAGCTTGGGATATGAAGTGAAATGGCAGAAAAAGCAGCGGGGTCACTAGGACCTTACAGGATAGAGGACTCCGAAGGGAGGAGGTTAATGGGGTAGAGATAGGAGCAAGGAATGAGCGAAAACGACCCCGAGTGAATACACCAGCCACCACCCCAGGCATCCTGCTCAATGCTCACAGTCTTATCCCCTCCATCTCCTTGCAGATGAGGAACCTGAGGCACAGATAGGTTATGTAATCTGCCCAACACCACACAGCTTGTGAGTGGCTGAGACAAGACCATATCGCAGTCATTCCTGGACTTTGAGGTGAGTTAGTGCCTGAAGTACTGCTTCATTTCAAATCCTGAACTCTTACCCACATGATGTTTATGCATTTGCTCATTCTTCCACTCATCTGCCCAACAATCTACATGATTCCACAGCATTCCCTGGGTGCCTCTGCTAGGCCCAGCCCTGGGTGGAGCCCCAGGGACATAGGAATGAAGACAATTCATTCCCCACCTGGACATCCCCCACCCTTGTTGACAGGGAGCCAAAGGACGGCTCCATTTCAGGCCGTAAGCCCACAGTCAGGAACAAAACAGCTCCGACCACTGGCCCACGTCTCCTCACTAAAGTTTCTGTTTGAGGAGCTCGGGCCTCAAGTGAGGACAGAGACAAGGTTCAGACAGGCAAAGGGAAACGCCCAGCCGAGGGCTGAGGTGCCCCTCCCGCCCCATTCTTCCTCCCAGTTCCGCACAGTGGGACTGGCTGACTTCCTCTCACGGACTACAGTGACCAGTTCCCAATCCCACGGATCCTCCCACAGGGGTTTTGCTCCTTGCTCCTCCTCCTATTATCCCAGGGGCCCACCCCCTTCCCCCCGCCTCCCCCGCCAAGTCCAGGGTTTCTCTACCAGTTATCACCAGTCTGCCTGAGTAGTACAAAAGTCACATTCATATTTTTGGCATTTCCGGGACTTGTTGCCATCTCTTCAAATGCTAGTACAAACATAAGCATACCTAAAACCCAGTTATATTACAATGGCTCCAGTCTGGGGCAGGCTGGGCTGATTTCTAGCCCACAAATAACTTGGAGGGAGAGACTTTTCTGCCAGAGGTAAATAGGTCTGGGGCTGAGAGGAGGTGGGGGAAGGCTCACAGGGACTGCGGCCACCCAGTGCGACTCCAAAGAGCTGTTTTACAATAATGAAAAAGATGACGCCACCAACGCCGAGTTCAGTCCTAAGCCGGTTCCTCTGACAAAGGCCTGGAATTGGTGGTGGGGAGGGTGGGTTATGGTGGCTTTTAGTAGAACAGCTACCAAGGGTGTAGGGTACCATCTGTCTGTGGACTCATTCTGTACTCTGCTGGGAGAGGGGATGGCAGGACCAAAAAGGGGGACCAACCCTAATTGCTGGTTAATTTTCACTTTTGATGATTTGCTGGTTCCTGCTGGAAACTTCAAATTATTTTAAAGAAACTAAACGAGGTAAAATTATACATGAGATCTGCATGATATTAAGGGTGACATTCCCTGCAAAGGAACACGACAGACTGTCATAGCTCCAGGCACCTAATTTAATTTCCTTTGGGAGTTAAACCTTAGACGCTTGAATTCAACAAAGACCCCGTTCTTTGTATATTTCAGACCTGGAGCTGAGAATGTTAACAGATCTTATCAACAGGACACTGGAGATAGACAGCTATGATGGAGCACTCTCACTGGTAACAGGCTCCCCGTTGTGATACAACTGTGGGAAAAGCCTGTGCAATTCTGGGGCTTGGGCTTCTTGAAGCTCATTGGGTCCCCATGGAGTTGCCTGGCTCTGCCACAAATAATAACAGGAACGGTGATGACAACGACAGTAGCAATGACAACACCACCAATAGCAGGAGCAGCGCCTCCTCTGTGTGCCAGGCACTGGGCTTAGTGCTTGACCTATATTGTTTCATTGAATCTTTACGGCAGTCCTGCAAAGGAGGAAACTATCATCTCCATTTTGTAGACAAGCAGGTCAAGAGTCTCCTGGACTTTAAAGGAACAGCACTGCTCTGGCTAGTGCTGCCCGGTGGTTATAGCATCAGCCAGCATACCAAAGAGCTGCAGGTTCAATATCCAGTCAAGGGCATGTACTTGGGTTGCAAATTTGATCCTGGCCTGGTCGGGACACATGCAGGAGGCAACCAATCGATGTGTCTCTCTCGCATTGATATTTCTCTCCCTCTCCTTCTCTCTCTCTCTTTCTCTCTCTCCTTCCCTTCTACTCTCTCTCTTAAAAAAAAAAACCCATAAAAAAAAACCATAGGTGAGGATTAACATAAAAGAAGAGCAATCTGGCCCTAGCTGGTAGATCAGGTGGTTAGAGCATCGTCCTGATACGCAAGGTTGTGAGTTTGGTACAAGACGCAACCAATGAATGCATAAATAAATGGGATAACAGATTGATGTCTCTCTCTCTCTCTCTCACACTTCCTCTCTCTCTAAAATCAATTAAAAAAAAGGGGGGGGGGAGGGACGACAGTAATCTGACCTCTTGGTAGTAGAGGCTCTTTTTCTATCTGGGGAAGGTAGCCTGATTCTAGAAACCTTATATAATCAATGCCAACACCGCTCTCTCCTCTGATTGGGGAGATGAAGATGACTTTGACCAATGGCCTGGAAAATCAATAATCCCAACCCCAACTAGCTACGTAACACCTGGCTAGTTATCAGCTCAAAAGGGCTGGTACCCTGAGGGGCATAGACATACCTGCTCAAAAACCAGATTGGACATGTCCAGCTGGGGTGGCTCAGTGGTTGAGTGTCGACCTATAAACCAAGAGGTCACTGGTTCGATTTCTGGTCAGGGCACATGCCTGGGTTGAGGGCTTGATCCCTGGTGGGGGACCTGCAGGATGCAACCAATCCATGTTCCTATCTCTCTATACCTCTCCCTCTTTGTAAAAATCAATAAAAACATTTTAAAAAACCAACAGCCTAGGATGCCCAATTGGAAAGGAAGGCAAACTCATGCCCAAAGATGGTTTCCAAGTGGGACAGCAGGGAAAGTTTCCAGGCTAGCTGGAGAATGCATACATAAGGCAACAGTTACTCTGGTCTAGAAAACAGCAGTATAAATAATAATGATGATGAGGATGAGGATGAAATTGTAATAGCACTCATTGATGTCTGCACTCACGAAATGCTGGGCATAAAATGTTTATATTTGTGCACAAACAGCCCTCGGAGGGAAGAGACACTCTACTGAGAGGGGAAAGCCCCCCAACCAACCTCCCTTGGGAAGTTTTTGAAAATATGAAGACTAGGCCCCATTCAGACCTCTGGAATCAGAATATCCTGGGCAAGGCCAAGGCATGTGCGTTTTATTATTATTATTTTTAAATATATTTTATTAATTTTTTACAGAGGAAGGGAGAGGGATAGAGAGTTAGAAACATGGGTCAGCTGCCTCCTACTCACCTCCTACTGGGGATGTGCTTGCAACCAAGGTACATGCCCTTGACCGGAATCGAACCTGGGACCTTTCAGTCCGCAGGCCAACGCTCTATCCACTGAGCCAAACCGGTTAGGGCGGCATGTGGGTTTTAAAAGGTGCTCCAGGAAATCATGGCGGGGGAGTGCCGGAAATACTCAAGTTCACAGGGGGACAGAGTTTGGACACAGGCTTAACCAATAGGGTGAGTTGGTGGCTGCAGCTCCTTGCCCTCATCACACCCCACCTTTGATCAGGGAGGGGGCTTGGAATCTAGGCCAACAACTTAGTCTAAGTTACACCAGGTACCTTGGGACAGCCTGGCTGGTTGGTGATGAGGGAGGATTGTCAACAGCTGCCCAATTTCCCAGGCCCCAGCAAGTTCCAAAAGAAACTCAAAAAGTGATTGTTTGTCAGTGCCTGCCCTGGGCAGGTCTGGCTATGCTACAGGCAGAAGCCCAGATGCTGCAGATCGGATTCAAATGTCTGTGGTCAATGATATTTCTGAGTCTGCAAATAGTGCTGACAATGCCCACTCCTTCCCCTCGGTATGACAATCCACACTCTGTCCGGGGCCTTGTTTGCATTTCGTGTAGACACGTTGTTCTTGCTTTCCAACAAGTTTGGATTTCTTCTCTCTCTTCCTTCTCTGAGGGAAGGAAACGTGTTGTTTACAGGGCAGGGCCTGCCAAGGAGCTGCTCTGGCACCCATGATGGCAGTGGAGGAGGCAGGGATGAGGAAGCGGTCCAGTCTGTGTCCCCCTCACTCCAACATACAGACACAAGCCAGAAAACAGCCTAGAGACTCCAGGCTCAGGGGCAGCGCGTGTGGCAGGCAGGCCTCACTCATTTCCGATTCTCAGTGGGTGGCGAGAAGCTGGCTCTGGCGGAGAGGAGGAGGCTCAGACTCCTCCTGCTCTGGCTGTTGGTTGGCTGGTGAGGGCACCATGGGCCATCACATCACCCCCTGAAAGGGAGGGTGGTATACTTCCCCAGCACAGTGCCGGGATCTAAACCCTAATGGGTGTACCCTGGACAATGAGGTCACCGTGACAGCCCGAGCAAAGGCTTCCAGGGAGAACAGCTGTGGCCAGGTTCACCAGTGGAAGGAGAAACCGTAGAGCCACTGAAGAGGAGCTGCCCAGGGCCTGGGCCAGGGATTACCACGTGTCTTTCACACACATCCAAGTGGGTGGGTAGGGAGGGGAGAGGGCAGGGCTTTTCCTGAGGACAGTGATGAGTCAGAGGAGGAGAGCCCAGCAGTGAGTCCCTAAACCTGGCCTGCAGGGTGGAGCCACTCAGAACAGCTGCAGGGTGTCTTCTCCCAAGCCTGGGACCTCCCATCAGGGCTGGGAGAGAATGGCTGGGAATGGGAGCACCACCTGGGTGAGCTGTCAGACACCACACAGCTGAGAAAGCATTGCAGGGCTTAAAAAAATATTCTCATATTTGGTGATGTGACCCCTACCTAACCTCTGGGGCCGACTTCCTCCCCTTCAGATCAGTGCTGGCTGGGGACGGATGAATGACTTAGCTCTGGGCCGGGCTCCCACTCACAGCACTAACAGCATGGTGATGATAGACTCAAGGGAGAGGGCTTGTTCAAGCCACCGAGACCAAGAATGCTGGGGGAAGGCAGGCAGGAGAGAATGCTGGCAGGCCTCCCCCAGGGTCTGAAGACCTGCCTGCACAGCTCCAGAGTTAGCTGGTAGGCTCTACCATCTCGATGAGGGTGAAAACAGCAGATGGTAGGGCAGAGGGAGTCAAGGTGTCCACCTCTGGAAATTGAGAAGCCTAGGAACTGGAGCAGGATTCTGCCTCTCCAGCTCCTCCAGGAAGCAGGGCGTGTCCACTGTGCTCACCCTGGGGTCGCCGATGACCCTGCCTTTCTGTGTTGCTGGGGCCTGACTTTCCTGGGGCTGGAGAGACAGGGAGAAAAGCAGCATGGAGAACAGGTGCAGGCCCAGATTCCCTCACTTTCTGCCTTTTTCTCTCAGCCTCTCCTTTGTCACTCTCCTCCCATGTGGGGTGTCTTTGCCATGCCTTTCCCCCAAGAGATAACAGGCCTGGGCTGGTAGCCAGAACAAGGTGCCAAGGCTGGAAATGAAGGCTTCCAAGACTGTTGAAGGCTGATGCAAGAAGTCATCCAGCCCCTCCCAATTCAGCTGGGACCAACAGGAAGGTTCAAGTAGCAGCCAAGAAAACAAAAGTCTGGGTCTCTTGCCCTTGCTGGTGACAAGCCTAATCCCAGGCCTCTAGGAGGTCCTGCAGACTCCCAGGGAGACAGCCAGCCTCAGAAGGAGACCTTCAGGCCCACAAGTAATTACAGGCCCAGGTTCCCACAAGCTAGGGAGCTGCCTGTGACCACAGTGGCAAGACCCTAAAGGAAGCAGGCTGGCAGTTAGATGCAGAAAATGCTGACTGCTGGGATGGGGAGGAGGGCTGCTGTGGGTGTTGGTACTATGGCTGAGGACCGGCTGGGGGCAGGGCAAAGGTTTCCCAGGACTTTCTGGAAAGGGCCTGAGAAACCCCTTGGTAAGTGAGGGTGCGTGCCTGGGGAGTGAGGCCCTAGCCAGCTTTCCTGGGAGCTCCCCTGTGAGTTGGCCCCTGTGGTGGACCACACTAATGAGCCCCTAACACAGGCCTTTGATTAAGCAGCTCCCAGCACAGCAACTTTATTGAAACATGCTGAAGCCAGCGGCTGGTTCCCACTGCTCCCGGTTCCCCAGGCAACAGTGAATGGGAGGGGACCATGTGCATGGGAGTAGCAGAGCCCTAGTGCTCAAGCTCACTGAGGGGCTGCAGGCGAGATGAGGGGGAGCGGAGGTGGACTGGAATGCCAGAGCTGGGGACAGGAGGCTTGGGAACTAGGGTTGGGTCCAGAACTTTAGGGGAACTGATGGGCAGCATGGCATCTGCTGAGTCCTTGGGAGTTCAAGGTCCCCACGCGTGTGAGAATTGGAGATGCTGACCACCCCCTCCTCAGGGTAAGAAGATGTTCTTAGGGGGAGGTGGGACTCCAAGAACAGGCTCAGAATTGAGGATGTAAAATGTAACGGGGGGGGGGGGATTTCTTGTTGAGTTCTGGGAGGCCCCAGTCTCTACCTTCCCAAGAAACCGTGCTTGAACCTTCAATATACGCTAATGTTATCTGAGGACATTGCTGCTGAGACCTGTCAGCACTCGGTCATCTACTGGGAATGATGTCCTGTGAACTCTCAGGGTTGGGGCCTCCTGCATGGTCCTCACCTTTCCCCTCTTTACTGGCTCTGCCCAGGCACGAGGCCTGCTCCTACCTGCTGTCCGCAGAGGCAGCCTGGGGGCGGGGGCACCGCTGCGGGTGGGGTGTGGAGGCCCTTTCCACTTGTACTAAGCTCATTTCAAATGTTACACTTCAGAGCTTTTGCTACAGCAACTATCAACACCACATGGACAGAAATCTAATGTTACCAAGAGGGACTTTTAAAATGTATTTATAACTTTATGGTTCAAAGTAATTTTGTTATGAAACAATGTAATAACAACAGTGGAAAAAGGCAAGATAATTTATGGAGCACAATATCCCTAAAGCACCAGCCTCCATTTCTACCTTGGCTGAGTCTGGGGAGTGTGGTTGGTGTCCCTTGTTTGCTGTTTGTTTTAATTAAGGGTTAGTATTTTGGGGGGAGGGGGAAAGAGTGCTGGCCTAAAGGAGGAGAAATTCAGCTGCAAGGCAACACACACATGCAGACAAAAGCATGCCCACATTAACAGTGTGTATGTTTCACAGAACACCCGCCCCCCAGACCGTGTTAAACCCACAAAACCCACACAACTCTCTTCTCCTCTCCTGTAATCTCCCACCCTCACCCACAAACAAGGCAGGTCACCTTTTGGATTAGGGTCAGAGTCCCTTTCGTGATACTCCTGAGAGAGGTAAGGCAGAGTGTCCCTCCTCCCGCACGCCCAACAAACAAACAACAGACAAGGATGTTGTTCCTCTACTTCCCCTGGACCAGGCCAACCACCTATGAGGCCGGAAACAAGGTGGGTCGGAAGGAGGCCTGTAGCTGTCAGCCCCGGCACCCCGTTTGGCAGTGGCTCTGAAGCTGTGCTCCAGCCAGAAGAGCAAAGGAGAAAAAAGTGTTCTGGACAAGCC